ATATATATAAATCTAAATAATAAGTTTTACATATTTTTAAATATCATATTGCAATGGAGCATATTAAAAGTTTAAAATAGAGATGTCCTAAATTAAGATCCATTATTGAGAAATCATAATAAACTTTACGACTACTACTGAAAAATTTGTGTGTTGTTGAGCGTTGTTGCTGCACTTCGTGCAATTAACGATGCATCTGCAATATTGCAAGGATTTCTACTACGATTTTCAATTTTAAAGAACAGTGATATATTCTGAAAGAATCGAACATAATCGATATAAATCAACAGAAAAGATGAACGTACGCAGAGACGCGTTGTTCGCACAATATTCGCAGTTAGTTAGAATTTTCTCTTTTAACTGTGCCAACTTTGTATGCGGATGAGATCACTTCGCGAAAGATCCTTCACGTTCTCTGAAACTTCTGATATAGTGTCCCTAACAAAGATATCGCAGAACGTTTTATCATTTTCTTCGGAAATCGTGCAAATTCGTTTCGTCAGCATTCTCGATCCCATGCTATTTTTATTATAATCTAAAGAAGATACTGTTTTAATATTAAACATTAATTAATTCTGAAATCCTGGTATTACTTTTTACTCTTATTTTTGTAACCTTATTACTGATTATCTCAAGTAATACAGTGCTTGCAAAAATGCTAAAAAAGTTATATGTATTTTTTTTAATGCTTTGTAAACGCTACTTGGAATTACCTATTGCTCTAAAATAATTATCTATTACTGAATGCATCTTATTACATAAAAAATATTTTATATCTTGTAATATTCATGCATTAACATTCGATAAAATTGTATCTTGCATCAAAGCTTAAAGATGAAATAATAACAAGTATTTTTTAAAGTTATTAGAGGAAGGAACATAAAATCGACTGGATATTATTGCAAAAGAATTCTATCATATTAAATAAAACATACAGATGTTTTTTAATTTTTTTAGATTATTCTAAGTGTTTAAGGTAGTAAAATTAAATTTAAATTATATGTAGAGAATCATTAAAAGTGCAATAAAATTAAAACTTATAACAGTTAGATACAATTATTAAATAAAAAGTTGCATATCAAGTTGCATATCTGCTAAGATGTTGATCGCAATTCATCGTATATTTTTAACAATTATGATATATTTATTTTTATGAAAATTATTCTTAAAATTCATGCATTCAAATTTTTTTTCTATTGCATATAAATTTCCAATTTTAAGAATAATTTTGGTAAGAACTAAAAAAATACCGTAGTTGCTGCAAAATGTACAATTATGATCAACATCTTGACAGCAATATAACATGCAATTTTTTATAATAATTGTATGTAATCATTATAAGTTTTTTAATTTATATTGCGCTTTTAATGATTCTTTACATAATTTTAATTTTACTATTGTAAACACTGAGAATATGATTTAAAAAAAAGTCTAAACGTCTGTATTTATGTTTCACTTAATATGATAGAATTATTTCGCAATAATATCCAGCGTTGGCTCTTATGCTCCTTTCTTAAATAATTTTGATTTTTTTCAAAAAACCGTTATAAATTTTAATTTAAATATTTTTTATATAGCCTCTATAATAAAATGTTAAATTAAATATGTGTATTGTATGTATAATTTAAAATAAAAATATTTTTATATATTTAGATAATATTAATTTTTAAAAAATCCGAAAAAGAACACGAGACATATCGTAGATCATGCATGCTATATAAATAACAAAATATTGACTTTAATTAATTATTATTTTCATTAATGATATTTCGTTTCCGTGATAATTAACATTCGCGAGCGTATCTCAAGTTTCAACAACGACGATAAGTCTTATCGGTATATGACCACGATATTATATTTCAGATGGAGGTATTCTTCTGCCACGTGCCAAAAACAAGCGACAATATCACAAATAATATGCAATACCCGCACAGAAATGCATCATTCAGAAAGCAATGAATTATCTAGACGTAGATTATACACGACCCTAATAGAAGTTCAGACTTTCAGCATGATATAAATAGGTGTCGGGGATGTGGATCGGCAGAAGCTTCTCGTAGCAGTGAACAGCAATCTTCTCTCGTTTCTTTCAATTAATCTTCAGTATGAATACTTTAACGAACAAGATCGCCCTTGTCACCGGCGCCTGCTCCGGAATTGGTAAAGCAGTCACCGAAGAATTGGTATCGAAGGGACTCAAAGTTATCGGCCTCTCTAGCGATATAAACAAGCTGAAGGTATATTTAATGTTAACATTATCTAAAATATAATAAATTGTATATAAAAAATGGATTATGGTTTACTTGATGCTATAAATGGATTATGGTTTACTTGATGCTATAAATCAGTCAATTAGTAAAATTTTTTCTTCCGATTGGTTAATTAAATACTTCGAAACAAATTTGTTGTGTAAAGTGCATTTTATTTAATAACAATAAATGATATTAATAAATTATGAGTTAAGCCAATGGCATACGATGTTTGTTTTCCTACTGAATTAGAATCTTGTCATCGAATTGACTACGATGCTGGCACTGACAGCATCGCAGCCAATACGGCAAGATTCTAATCCAGCTAGCAATCCAGTAGGAAAACAAGACATCGTGTGTCGCAGACTTTATCATCTCTTTTATGATTTCTGTAGCTTCTTGTGGATGAGCTGAAGGACAAACCCGGCAAACTATATCCTCTTCAATGCGACTTAAGTCTTCCGAATGAGATCGAAAGTACATCGGAGTGGATAGAGAAAAACCTGGGTAGTGTGGATATCTTAGTAAACAGCGCTAGTATTAGCTTAGATTGGTCCAGCATCAACGGTGGTATACAGGAACTTAAAAAAACTATTGATATCAACTTACTTGGTTTATCGCTTCTCACTAAGAAGATTCTGCAATTGATGAAGAACAAAGGTAGGTATCAAGGAAAATTAGAAAAAATTATTTCTATATCTTTGATAAATAAAAAAATATTAGAAATCGACAACGGCTGGATCATCAATGTCAACGATGTATGCGGATTGAAATTGTTGCCTCTTGCCTCCGACCGACCTCTTTCCCCGGCATATGCTGCAAGCAAGTCCGCGTTGACCGCACTGAGTGAATGTCTTCGTTTAGAGTTAGCCCAAAACGAGTCCAACATCAAAGTGACCGTAAGTAACTTCGAAACTGTACTATAATATTGAATTGTTTTTTTAAGTACTTATGTATAAAGTCAATTTTATCATTGCAACATAAAGTTAACACTGTTTCAAATTATGATCTCTTAACATTTTATTCGATGTCATTGAAAAAAAATTTGGTTTTTCCAAATTCTTACGGACAAAGTAAAGTATATTTAAAGCATAGTATTAAGAAATTGCTTAAAAAAATAATAATAATTTGTTTAATAATTTTTTATTAAATAAAAATAAAAAATATTTCAGAAAAAGGTATACTGAAAATTTGTTTGACAGTTTTTTTTTTATTTCTGTTAACATGATTCATTCTCTTGCAACAGAACATCTGTCCAGGCTTGGTGGAGACCGAACTCAACCAACAATGGTTGAAGGAAAATTCACGATTGGCTTTAAAACCAAAAGACGTGGCGGACGCTATTCTCTACTCATTGCAGACTCCAGAGAACGTACTTATCAAGGATCTTATTATTACACCCCTTCGGGAGATTAATTGAGACTGGACGAAATCGTTGTTTATGACAAACATTGTAGTATTTAGAGCACGTGTGGCAAATCAAATAAAGCATTAACAATTTTCAAATATGATGTTAATTTTCAAACATGAATTCGTCATATTTATCTTAAAATTCTCAGGCTGATTTTATAAGTTTTTATTTTTTATATTTTTTATATTTTTTTATTGGCAATATCATGTATAAATAACAAAGTTTTAATAAATAACATCAACACAGCTTTTTTGCGTAT